CGGGGGGCGCCAGCAGGGTGAAGCGCCCTCCCTGGCGGAGATCTCCCGGGCGGGGCGCGACCGCCGCACGGGCCCAGACTTTGCGGCGTCGGGCGACCGCCGCGACGGGCTGCGTGCAGGGCCAGGGGGGGTGGGGGGGTGGGCGTTTTGTGGCGCCGCTGGGCGGCTTCGCGCGCGGGCGCCGGTGGCTCCCTCGGAGATCGCGGGTGACGTTTGCGGGGGCACTTCCGGGGGCCCGCGTGGTCAGGCCGTTGCCGCTCGCTGGAAAAATTTGCTTGGCGAAGGGCCCAGCCACTCGCGGATGCGAGTGCCGCAATTGTGGATATCGTCTTCGGTGGCGCCCCCTATGGGGCCACGAAGCGCGTGGGGGGCGTGCCGAAATGGGGGGGGGCGCATGGGAACGTTGTCGCTGAGGCCTTAGGTGGAGCTCCCTATGGGGCCACTCCCGCTCAGCGTCTTCCGACGCAGGATGGGCCCGAGCGGCCGCGCGCGCGCCGATTTTGCGCCTCGCGCGCGGCGCCCTTCCAACATATTTGGAAAGGGCCGATGCGGGGCGCGGCTGTGCCCCCTCTCGCGCGCCGCGCTGAGTGGCGCCGGCGCCGCCGCGGGGGCGGCCGCCCTGCCCCCCCGCCGCGCGCTCTGCGATGCAATATCAGAATGGGCCAAGGCAGCCGCGCGAGCGGCGGCCCTGCCCCCGCGCGCGATTCTTTCTTCGGGCGGAGCCTGGGCCAGGGCGGCACTGCGCGCGGTGGCCCTGCCCCGCGCCTCGCGGCTCTCCAGTGGGGCCAGGCCAAGGTTGCCGCGCGCGCGGCGGCCCTCGCCGCCCCTTCCCCCGCGCGCGGCATTGCATATGCAGAGTCGGTCAAGGCCGCCGCGCGCGCAGCGGCCCTGCCCCCCCCCCCCCCCCGGGGAGCGCTCGTCAGTTCATGTGACCAGGGCCGCCGCGCGCAGCAGAGACCCCCGCGCTTCGCGCAGTGGCCGCCGCGGGCGCAGTAGTTTCTGCCGTCGCGTGCGGTTTTTGCTTCGCGGTCAGAATGACGAAAGGGCCGCCTCGCCCGTGGCCGCGCGCGCGTAGAATTTTCTTATTCAAGATGGCCGAGGGAGCGCCGCGCGTTCGGCGGCCCCGCGGCTTCGCGCATTGCGTTTGCGCTGTTAGTGTTCAACGTGATCTGATGTCGCAGCTGTCGCCGCGCGCCGCGTTCCTGCCCCCTCGCGCATGGCGCTGCTCACTTGCAGGGCGCCCCCCGCTCCGAGCCGCGCCCTGCCCCCCCGCGCGCTCTGGCCCCGCCCCTTGGCGCCAGCTTGTTCGCGCAGAGAGGGCCGGGGCCGCCGCGCGCGCTGCCCCGAGCAGGGCGCGCCATGGCCGCCGCGCGCGGCCGCCGCGCCTGCTCCGACGCGACGCCCCCGTGACCGTGCCCATGCAGGGCGGGCCCGTTGACTCGGGCGCTGTGTTCTCCTAAGTCGAGGTGGCCAGGGTCGCTGCGCGCGCGGTGGCCTTGCGTCCGCCCGCGCGCGCGGCGTTCTTTTCAAGCAGACTGGGCCAGGGCCGACGCGCGCGCGGCCGATCTGCGCCCTTGCGGACGCAGCTGTTCATTCAGGATTGGCCACGGGCGCCGCGCGCGCGGCAGCTCTGCCCCCTTGCCGCGCGTTGCGTTTCCTTCGCGCGCATCGACCAGAGCCGCCGCGCGCGCGACCGCCGCGCGCCCGCGATGTTTTTCAACGCAGCACGGGCCAGGCACGCCACGCGAGCGGCGGCCCCGCCCCTCCGCGCATTGGATTGCACCGCGGTGCAGAACTGGCAAGAGCCACCGCGAGCGCGGCGGCGCAGCTTCCTGACGCGCTGCCGCGCTTTCCAGAATTGGCTGGGGCTGTCGCGCGGGCGGCGGCTATGCCCGTTCGCGCGCTCGGGTGTTTCGCTCGGGAAGGAGCAGGTCCGCCGGCCCCGCGGCGGCCTTGTTCGCCCCCTCGCGCATAGCGCTGGCCCGTGGAGAATGGGCCAGGGCCGCCGCGCGAGCGGCCGCCTCGCCCCCTCTTCTCTCCCCCTCGCCCTGCCCCATTGCGAGCTGCGGCGGCGCTCCTGCGCGCGCGGCGTCCTGTCGCGCGCGCGCGGCGGCCGCGCCCCCCCCCCCCATCTGCCACATGATTCCTCCATGCGTTCAAAATGAGCAGGGGGGCCGGGAGCGCGGCGGGACCCTGCCCATCGCGCGCTGTGATTCAGCTCGCAGAATTGGGCAAGCCCGCTGTGGGCGCGGCGGCGGAGTCTCCGCGCGCGTGGCGTGCTCCCGTTCAGAAGTGGCCGGCATCGTCGCGCGCCGCGGCCCTGCTACTGCGCGCGCTGTGTTCCCCGCGTAGACCGGGCCAGCGTTGCCGCGCGCTCGCTGGCCGCCGCCGCTGCGACACCGCCCCCCGCGCATTGGGCGCGTCGGCCTTGCCCCTTCGCTATCTGGTTTGCTTTGGTCGGAGTTGGCCAGGGCGCCGCTCGAGGGGCTTCCCCGGCTCCCCGCGCGCGTTGCCGCGTCCTGTTCGCGTGGGCAAGGGCCGCCATGGCGGCGGCCCAGGCCCTTCTCGCGCGGCGTCGTTCCCTCCGCGATTCGCCCGAGCCGCCCCGCGCTCTGCGTTTCTGGCCCGCCGCGTGCTGTTTCTTGTCGCGCGGGATTGGGCAGACCCCCCCGCTCCGCGCAAATGTGTTATTCCCAGCGCGCGGTGGACGGAGGCTTCCGAGCCCGCGGCTGCCTTGGCACGTCGCGCATTATAGCTCGACGCGCCGAATCGGCCAAGGCCGTCGCGCGCGCGGCACCCCGCCCCGTCGCGCGTTGTTTCTCTTCCCCGCGCGGCCTCGGCCAGTGCCGCAGCGCGGGCGGCGGCCCGCCAGGCCCCTTATTCATTGCGCATGCGGCCCAGGGGCATTGCGGCGGCCAGCGAGCCCGCATCGCAAACGCGGGGCAAGGGGCCCCGAGGATCCGCCGCTCGCACCCCGCCCCGCCCGCGACCCGTGTCTGGACGCTGGTGCGTGCGTTCTCGTTTCCTTAAAGCATATTAGTTTTGCTCTCCGGGGCCTCTCGTCGCATTGTTATAGGTTCTCTCTGGGCTCTTTGCAGGATCTGCATATTTCCCAGTGGCTCTCCCGCAGAACCCTCGCCTGGTCTCCTTCGCCAGCCGAATGTTCATTATTTCGATTTCGTTGACCCCGCCCCGGATCTGTATATTTCCTGCGCGGGCGCGGCGCAGGCCCCCCATCCTATCTATCAGTGCCCACGGCAAAACTTCTCGTTGCCTCGCCGAGGGGGCCAGTGCACTTCGACGCGGGAAGTGCCGCCAGAGCAGCTCCGGGCATCGCGGCAAATTGCTTGCCGAGGCAAGCGCGCCGCGCAATTTGATTTGAAATCGGCCTTCAAACTGCCTCGCGCGGACAGCAGGGCCCCCTTTGCTCGCGGGATAGATGCAGACCCCCCCGGGACTTACAAGTGCCAGGTCCTTCGAGGCGAGGGCTGCGGTGAGGTCTGGCGGGGCCCCGAGGTCCCCGCATGGTCTGGCACCACACGGCCAAGGAGGCCCCCTGGAGGCGCAGGTGTCGCGGGGTGGGGGGGCTGCACCCTGATCGTCGGGTACAGTCAATTTTCCGAAAGAAGGAACAGCTTGGGTTCGGAAGGGGCTCGATGTTCTTTAGGTTCCTCCAGTGCTGTTCCACTTGCCCCCCTGGGGTCCGACTGTGCTGGAATTTTCCGGTCGCGACAGACGAGAACGGTCGCTGCCGAGGCTGCGTCAAATGTCGGCATCGGTCGCGACCGATTTGCTTCATTTAGTATCGGTCGCGACCGATTGTTCGCGACCGCTCTGTTGCGATCGGTGGCGACCCGTCGCGACCGATTCTTGGATCAGTTGCGATCGGTCGCGACCGATTCGGACTGCCGATCTGTCGCTACCGAGCGCGACCGAACAAAACATCGGTGTCCAATGATTTGGGCAGAGGGGACCGGGGCAACGAGACGGGGGGTGTCGCGGCCAGGTTTTTTTTTTTTGTCAGGGGTCGACCCAAACGGTGTTTTGGCGATCTCGTGGGCCGTTTTCGTTTCGGTTTCGTTCTGCAGCAGAGGCGGTTTGGAAACAACACGCGAGAAGACGAACGCACATTCAGTCGGCCCAGATTAGCACGTCGACCCTGCCAGTTCAAGGGCACCCTTTGTGTCTTGTCCCTCGCGGCACGTGCCCTCTTACACTCATATGGCGATGTGGCCCTCGGATGGGTCTTGTGTCCTCTCGCGCGTCGTGTCCAATCGAGTCCGACTGTAACTCAGGAGGAAAAGAAACACACAGACACAATTAATCCTCGATTCCCCAGAAAATATGGGAAAATATGGGAAGTGGTTGGGAAGACAGAAACCCAGAAAATATAGGAAAATATGGGGAATAGTTTTATTTGTGTGTATTTATTTGTGTGTCCTGGGGCCCCTTCATTTGTGTCGGGTGCGTCCTTTTATTCAGGAGGAACGTGCAAACGTAGTCAACATAATCGTCGGGGGAACGATTGTCGGACTGTTGTTTTAAATCGGTTTGAATACTCGTTGGGGTATGTTTGGGTTTTTTCGCCCGAGATCCGCCTGCAGGGGGGCACGCCCGACCGACCTTGAGCCCTCCAAAAGCCCCCCCCCCGCGCCGGGCGGAGCGGAGCGGCACGCTGCCCGCTCCTGCAGGGCACAGTGGGGGGCGTCGCCGGGGCCGCCGCCGCGACGCGCCCCATGGGAGGAGGACGTGTGCCTGGAAGGGGAGCAAGCGCCACAAGCATGAACTATTGGCGCTCCGCGCGGATTCCTTGGATCCGCACTGGGACCCCCTCCAACGGCGCCTCAGGCGCCGCCCCTGGCGCGCTCCGCGCGCGGATCCAGGAAATCCGCGCCGAGGCCCCCAAAGTTCAAGTTTACGCAGTTTTTTCTTCTTGTAGTATCGTCGTCTTGTAGTATCGTCGATTCCAAGTCTTTGTCTCCCCCCACCCTCCTCAGCAGGAGTCGGAGATCTCCGAGCCAGTCAGCTACCAGGACCAGATGATGCTAGTCCAGGCGCCCGTCCCCATGGGGCCCATGGCCATTGATCGGTACGGTCGAAGTTGAGACGAACCGGGACGATAGCTGATATCACTTTCTGTGAATTTGGACAGGATTCGCTGTCGGTGTTGCCGCGGAGGTTGTCCATTTGGGACGAGTGTCGACTGCCCAACAGCGGCTGCTGGTGGGTCGGACCAACATTCGCTGTTGGGCATCGCCCCCATCTGTACAATCCTCATTTCGGGCGTCCAAAGGGGAGAAACCTAGGCCGAGGTTGGTATGCTTTTTGTGGGGAAACTCGGAAGAAGGAACCTTATACCCCGGTGCTTCTGGCCAGAGGCTGATGACTGCCAGGGTATGAGCCAACAGTGGCGTTTCGAGTGCTGCATGTTGGTTGTATACTTTCTGCCCCCCAGCCTCCCATGTGCCAATGTTGTCCTTCTTCCCTGCCCCCCCTCTGCACATCCTCGTCGTCGTCCTCCTCCCCCCCTCCTATTGGGACGGTTCCGAAAAGCGCCCACGCATAACCATTTGTGACGCTCCGTTTCAAGGTTAAGGTTTGGTGGTTGACGATTGGGATGAGGAAGTTGTGCGGGCATAGCCAATTACATTTGCGACGCAAGAGGTTCACCCCAATCCGCCGACCCCCAGTCGCCGCGCATGGAGGCGATCGCCAGGGTCACACGGGCGCTTGAACGCGACGCTCGGGCAATTTTGCGTGGTTCTCGAGATGCGTTGGAGAGCGGTGCAGAGTCGATGTGGTAGCCCGAACAAGGGCCAGGTGTTTGCCAAACGCTTGGCGAGTGCGACAGCCATGGCTTCTGTGGAACCGCGAAGGAGGACGGATAAGAGAAAACAGAGAGGAAAGAGGAGGAAGGAGGAGGAGGAACACCACGAGGAGGATGAGGAGGGGATGATGAGTTGGATGAGGAGGATGAGGAGGAGGAAAAGGACGAGGAAGGCGGAGGAGGAGGAGCACCAGTGTGAACCCACGGCGCGTCAACGATGTTGAAATACACTCTCCCTCTAAGTTCATGTTTCATTTGTCCGCAAGAAGATTTGCTTTCATTGCGTAGCCCAACAGAAAACATTCGTCTGAGAATCCCCAAACTTGCCAAGACGCTTTTCCTGCGATTCCAATGTCGTCTATCATCGTGACTGAACCGTTCTGGTAACCCTATACCGTGCCAGAACACCATTCCCAGGGCTCCAGCGCCGCGAATCAACGGGAGTGTTGCGTCCTGACAATCCTACACCGTTTAAGAACACCTTTCTTGGGATGTTAACCGCGCGAATCGTCTAACTGGTTGCGAACGTTCAACACGAATGTTCGCAGCGCTAAGGCGCGCGCCACATGTTTGAAAAAAGGGCCGTCCTCCATTATTGAAATTGTGGCCAACGTACACGGCGAATGTGCGCAGCGCTAGGGGGAAACCACATGTTGAAAGCCATCTGTCCTTCATCCGTTATCCTGTTTCAATGTTGTTAAACAATTGTGCGCAGCGCGAAAGCGAAAGCCGCATCTTGAACACGACCCGCCCTCCATTCATGGAACTGTTGTCGTTTTCAATCTTCAGTGTCAGAAATGGCCAGGAAGTCTCAGGCGAAATGTTTGGCCCGCCCTACATATTGGTCTGGGGGGCGACAGGGAGGAATTATTTGCGAGGACAAGGGATGGAGGAGGAGGAGGGGGAGGAGGATTAGGAGGATGAGAAGGAGGGAGAGGATGATCACGAGAAGGAGGAGCAGGAGGGGTGGAGCAGAAGGAGGCCGACGATGGGAAGTCTTGGGGACACTTGGGAGCCGTAATTGCAAGCGCGTGGTATCCTGGACGCACGCACGAGAGTCGGGCGGGTGGCACTTGGGGGTGGCCTAAATGGGGGGTGAAGGAACGGGCCTTTTTTTTCACCCACCATTGAAGCCACCTCTCATTACCACCCACCCGGGAGAGGTTCAGCAGGGGACGGATCATGTTCACCAGTAAGGCCGTGTGAGGCTTGATGGGGACATTCTGAGGGCGGTTGGATGCTTTTTGTTGACCCGTGGGGGCTTTTTGGTGCACCTTGGGAGTCTGCTTGCGGTTTGGGGGGTCTTCTTGGGGCGGAGGGTTCGAAAGGTGAATCGAGCTTTTACTTTTCTTCGGCCTGTCTGAGGGCTTTGTTCGTGGCAGGGCGTTGTGGGACCCTCGAGGGGCTCGTTTGGTCGCTGTGGAGCGACCTTGTGAGCCTCTTCAGCCGTTTTGGATGCTTTGATGGCGAAACGGACGGACGTGTGAAACGTGTACGTGCTCCTCAGGCATTCAGACGATTTTTGCCTCTTGGGGCTCTCGTCGAGATCCTTTTGCAAGCCTCCTGGGGCGTCTTAAACGCCTCTTGGGCCGTCTTGAGGTCACCGTGTGCGTCTCTGCGACACCTTCTGTGCCTGCTGGAACCCAGTTGGAGCAGGCGTGGATGGAATCTTCGGATATCTGGAGGCTCCAGCGAGGACCCTGGGGGTGCGTTTCAGGACGTCGGGGGGTCGCCCCCGCCCCCTCTCAAGCGCGATTTTGGATGCTGGGGGCGGGGGGAACGAGGGGGGGGGGGCAGCCCAGTACAGGGCGCATCTCGACCCCTCGGATTCGCTTAGGTTCGATCTCGATGGCTTCCGAGTCCGATTCGATCTGGCTTCGGATTCCGATCTGGGTTCCGATGTCTCAATGGGGGCCTATTAGCCTGCCGATTTCTGCCGATTCGGCTGCTCTGGACTCGGCTGTTGATTTTCGCCGATCCGATTCGTTTCGATCGCCCATCCGACTTATCAATTTGATTCTTGGCTCTCCTGGAAAGGAGGGAAGGGACACCCCAGGATCTCACACGTCTTGGCCCCCCCAGCAATCGGGCGTCGGCGGATTCTGCTGCGATGACGGACGCTTTCGGGAGGGGGAGGGGCCCGGGAACGTCACGGCTTGTACCCGCGGGGGGCCGGGGTAGGGGCCCTGTAACGTCCAGGCAGTGGCTTGGGACGACGACGACGACGACGACGACGACGACGACGATCGGCATCGCGTGGAGGTGTACACAGGCAGTGTGGGCACAGGTACGAAACTATTTCATCACGGGCATTACCAGGGGGGCAAGGTGGGCGGGGGGCCAGGAATGTCACGATTCGCGCTGGACACCGTGTGGGAATGCCCAAGGGTTACTTCCCAGACTGCGCCGGCGCGAATCGTGACGTTACCATGGGAGGGAGGGGGAGGAGCTGGGCCAGTTATGTGTTATTTGCATGAATATTTCTAGACGTTTCGCGAAACCCAACTAGCCCATCTAGATCGATGACCAGACGAGCTGCCTTTATCAGGGATGTGGAGGAACATGCAGTGGAATAAAGGGCTGAGTAAGACGTCTTACCCCAAGAGTGGGAGGATTTATGAGGAATCGGAGGAGGAGGAGGAGGGGCGTAGGGAGTGGGACGGAGGAGGGATGAGGGATGATGAGGAGGAGGAATATGCGGACGAGGAAGAGGAGGAGGATGAGGAGGGCGAGCAGAAAGGCCAGGGGCCTCTTGGATGCTTCTCGGAGTCCCTTCGGATGTCTCTTGACAGCTTTTTGTAGGCCTCTTGGGGCGTCTTGGGGGCCTCTTGGAGGTCCCGGGGTCCTCTTGAAGCGTTTTGGGTTCCTCGGGGGAGCCTCTTGGGGCCTCTTGGCGGTCTCTTGGGAGCCTACTGGGGACATTCTGGGGGCTTCTTGGGGCCTCCTGGGTGCCTCTTGGGGTCCTCTCGGGGCACTGGGGAGCTTTGGAGGCCACCCAGGGTCCATCTTGGAGGAGTTCGATCAATAAGGCGGGGCAGCATGGGCCCAACAGCAAGCTAAAATCAATGAATTCCGTCTTCTCGCCGAGGACACTTTGGATGCTCCAACTACCCGCGGACACCCCCCTGCAGACCCAGGGGTATGAAAGGGGGGAAGGTGTCAAGACACCCTCCCCGCCCGCAAGCTGTCTCACTCATTCCCAACCGCCCAAGTAGCACCAGGGCCTCAGCATGTCCAGCGGTCGTCTTCGGACGGGCAGCTAAGGTGAACCAAACCAGATCCCATGTGCGCAACATTGGGGCAAGGTGCGCCACGCGTGCCAGGCGCGCCACGCGCGTCAGGTGCGCCAGGCACTCTCGTGGCCCAAGCGTGCCAGGCATGCCTGGTGCGCCAGATGCGCCTCGTGATCTACGTGCACCATGTGTACTGCATGCTCCAGCCGCGCCAGGTGCGCCACGTCAGGGGCACGCGCAGGGTGCGCCAGGTGCGCCTGCGCACGTGGCAGTACACGTCGGGAAACGTGTCGGCCCCCACCACTAGTGTCGAGCACGAGTGCGCAATCGCGGCGGGTTGGCAAACATAGTGTCTGGTCGGCCTGCACACACCATTCAATATGCCAGCACCCACGCCGTCGCAGTCAAACACGAATGCACAGTGATCGCGGGTTGCCCGCGTATGATCCACATTTTGCCTCGATCAGCATGTTGTATTGTTTTTGACAGGGATGCTGGCCCTGCGCGCAGAAGGCAATATGCGGGCACCCCCGCCGTCGCTGTGACGAAAACAAAACAGTGCTCGCGGCACCCCGACATTGTTCTTTGACAGGGATGATGGGGTGTCCTCATTGGTCCTGCTTGGCTGCTGGTCGCCAGGAGGAGGGGGCTGTTTATTGATAGGGAAGAGTGATAAGACCTTCCCGGAATAGGAACCCCCCTAAACCATCGGGAGCCTTGAGACGGGGGTCAATGCAAACGGGCGTCAGCAAGGGCACCAGATCCTTCAGGATCCTGCGAAGACACCCTCTGGCTGACCCGGGTTAGCGAGCCGCTCGTGGCCGCGAGGCGGCCGCGCATATTGGTTGACCCGGGTTTGCGAAGATTTGCGTTGCAGTTTTTCTTCCTGTATTGCAGTTGTTGGTTTCCTGCTGACCCGGGTTTGGATTGACCCGGGTCAGAATATCCCAGAAACCGCTCACGCACTCAAGGGCTGGTGGGATTAGACAACATGTGCTCTCTTGTGCCCAGGCATTGGGGCTTTGATATTCGCATCTCCAGTTGCAGCAGCATGTGTGGTGTGCTCAGGTGTTGTTGTGTACACAGGCACCCTGGTGAACACCTGCGCTGTCTTTTACATACGAACCGTGGTGTACACAGGCGCTGTGGTGCGCACATCTGCTGGCGCAGCATCGGTGGTGTAAACAGCCATGGGTATGTACGTATGTACGCAATACGGTTGGTTTGGACATGCATTGTTCTTAGCACAAGACCTGTGATGTCCACAGTCGCAGTGGTGTACACAACCGCTGTGGTGCACACAGATGCTGCTGCAGCATTGTTGGTGCACACCAGCACTACTGTGTACACAGGCCTTGGGGTGCACAGAGGCTGTGTGGTATGAAGGCATCGCGCCCCACCCCCAAAGGGAGCCGTACCTTTGGCCAGGCGGGATTGAAGGTGTACACAGGTTTTGTGTTGTACATCGGCACTGTGGTGTAAGGGTTTGTTGGGTACACGCACATGGTGCAGCAGCCGCTGTGGTGCGTACATGCGATGTGTTGTGCAAAGGCGCTGTGGTGCACACGGGTGGTGTGGTGCACGCAGCTTCTCTGGTATACACAGGCATTGTGGTTTACACATGCATTGTAGTGCACACGCGTGTTGTTCCTGCATCATCCATGGTGTTTAAAAGCTGAGTGCTGTACGTAGTCATTGCTGTGTACACAGGTGCTGTGATGTACACAGGCCTACACAGGTGTTGTGCTGTACGCCAGCACTGTCACGGTGACAGACATTGCGGTGGACAGAGGCACTGTGGTGCTATCGGCATTGTTGTTCACACTAGCCTCCTGATGCACGCAATCGCCGTGGTGCTCACAAGCGCTCTTGTGCACGCAGGCGTTGTGGTGTACGGAGGCACTGGTGTGCCCGACGGTCCCTCCTCGTGCATACTGTGGCGGGCAGGAGCTACGTTCGCTGCTCGTGGCCACTCTCAGCAGGCCCCTGCGCTGTGCCCAGCTATCCCTGGCAGTTGCCCGCCTACGTGCCAATTCTAGCTGTCCTTGCGTATTCCTAGCTCTCTCCAGACGGTGCCGACCCGAAACGTGGTATTGTCGGGCATCGCGGTAACGGCTGTTATCGCTGACCGTTTAATGCGCTCTCCAGTACAGGGATGAGGGGATGAGGGAGGGAGGGAGGGCGTAGGGAGACGGCGGAGGAGGAGCGAGGACGGAGGACGGATAAGGAAGAGGAGGAGGAGGAGGAGGAGCAGGAGGAGGAGGAGGAGGAGGAAGGCGAGGATCACTTCATAGTAGGCTGGGCCGCCTCATCCTTCTGGATATGTTACTCAGATCCAGGGCTTACGCTGTATTGAGCAGTCATCGTTTAGGCCGTGTGGACACCTCGCAGCTCCGTTCAACATCGCGGCCGTAGCTCCCGACACCATATTTATCCTGTGCAGAGAAAGACGTGCTAATATCCTTTTCTCGATTTCGCCTTTCTGGGCCTCCGGGGGACTTCGTCACCACGTCTGGATTTGGCCCGGAGTCCAGGTCAGAATGCACCCTGGGAGAGGTCCAGGGGTAGTGGGCTCGGCGTTTTGTTGTTCCCTCACCAACCCGCTGTTCATGCACGATGGTGCCGAGGGTGCGGGTGCTTGGGCGCGAAACGGCGCGAGAAAGCGTGCCGTGTATCTCTTTCATGACGTTGGATGTCAGGAAAACCTTCTTTCCGATGGGGTCAGAGTAGATGGGGTCGGAGGATGGCGCCGCATTGCCGATGCATCGACGATTTTTCACGCCGTTGTCGCCGATTCGTCGCCGACGTCGCCGATGCGTCGCCGTTGCACTGGCGATGCGGCGTGGTCCTCCGACCCCGTCATGCTCGGATCTCATCTGGGAGGCACCTGCTCCTCATCTCTGGGGAGGCCAAGAGGTACCGATACCAATACACCCTAGGCGTTGCTTAAGAAAACGTATGGTTTCGGCCAGAGTCTTGATTATTCTTAACTTTTCAATGTAAATCCCAAGATTTTGATAGAAGTTCTGGGTTTGTAATCAAATTCTGAGACTATGAATTTCTTAACCCATGATTTCTTAAGCATTTCGCAGGGTATACTCCCTGGACCTTTCCTGGGATTCGTTCTGACCAGGGTCTCGAGGCGAATCCAGCGGTGGCTGCGAGGGAGGCCCAGGAAGCCCGAAAAAGGGGAAAACGGGCGAGGGGTAGAGGTATGGGTATCTCGTCCTCATCTGAATCTTGCCTTCCCCAGCTAGGGACGAGGACCACACCTGGCGCACATGCCGCTGGCACGTTCCCGTCCCCCTGATCAGGGTGACGTCAGCACGGCCACTGGCGTTGCGGTGGACAAGAGCTTCCAGGCGGGCGGGCGAGCGCTGCCCCCTCTGCGTGCCGGGGAGTTGCTCAGAGGAGGAGAAGGTACCAACATCGCTACCCTGAAATCGGGACGATGTTTGTTGTTTTTGTTCGGGCATTCTTGGAATGCTTGTTTGGCTATCTTTCATTTGTCCTTCAGGAGCTGCCTGTAAGAGGACATGCCCGACCTAACGCTACCCTTGCCTCGTTTTCGCCTTTTGTGGCCTCCTGGGAGGCCTTCGTCGCCACCGTTGGCTTCGCTTCGACATCCTGGTCAGAACGCGCCCCGGGAGAGGTCCGGGGAGCAGCGGCATCGGCGCCTTTTGGTTCCTCAGTGGCGCAGACGGACGGGAGGATGGAGGAGGGCGTGGAGGGTCGTGCGGGGGTGGTGATCGAGCAGGAGTGGGTGCTGAGGATCAACACTCGGAGCGAGGAGCGGTCTTGCTTGATGCCTGCGCGCGCCTGGGAATTGCGGGGCAGCAGCCGTACGGGGCCACGTGCAGGGCCCACACGAGGGACCGACGCACACACACAGACACACACACACACAGAGACACGACCCACAAGCAGGATTGATTCACGGGGCCTGCTCTATCTCTTCCGTTTATCGTTGTTCGTGCGGTGTTGCGGTGGCTTTCGCAGGAGGAGAAGGAGCGTGTTGAGAGGATGGATAGGAAGATGGGACGAAGAAGATCAGGAGGAGCAGGAAAAGGAGGCCGAGGAGGCAACAGAAGGACGGACAGGGGGATGAGGGGGAGGACGCGGATGTAGAGTAAGCGGATGAGGACCAGGTGCGGGCGGAGGCGGGGGGAGTAGGATGTGGAGCAGCGGGAGGCGGAGGAAGAAGGCAGGTCGGGGTTTGGGGAGGGGAGGGGATTTGATGAATCTGTGCTTCGTAGAGAAGATGTGCGCTCAGACGGGCGTACATTCTGGTGTATGTTGGATGCCATTCACCGTGCTGGAGGGGAGCTTAATGACGGCACAGGACGCATGAACATGAAGAGGGGGGATGAGGGAGTTAGGGAGTCAACGCATGATATGACGATCGTGAAGATATGAGATCGTAGATCTATTGACGACGATGACGTTGACCACGACAGCCTCCGCGGCAACGACGACGGCGATGGTAATAATGTCGAGGATGAGGATGCCATGATGTTGAGACTGCGATAACGAGAACGGGATCGCGGTGCTGATACTCATGTGCATGATGCCAGTGCAGATATGGTGATGATGGTGATGACGATGATGCTGAAAATGATGAAGCTGATGATGATGCTGATGCTGATGATGATGATGATGATGATGATGATGATGATGATGATGGTGGTGGTGTTGGTGGTATTGGTGGTGGTGTTGATGATGACGACGATGATGATGATGCCGATGATACTGTTGCTGCTATTTGCGGTGGTACTGCTAACCTGGAGAATGCGGTTGATGATGTTTATGATGGGGACGGAGGCGGTTGTGGTGGTGATCATAGTGATTATGATGCGTGCGGCTGTGGCTGCGATGTTGACGATTGCGAAGATGGTGGTGACTGTGATGGTGACTATGATGACGATGCGGATGATGACGTATTCGATTAAAACGATGTCGACGACGACGGGAATGATGTTGTTGTTGATGATGGTGATACTGAGTAAAATATTCACACGAATGATAAGAGGGAGAAGGAGACGTCGACGACAATTATGATGATGATGCTGCTGATGATGATGCCGATGACGATGACGATGATGATGATGATGATGCTGATGTGCTGTTAGTTTTTGGGGAAACAAAACATGATGATGCTGATGCTGCTGCTGTTGATGGTGGTGGTGGTGGTGACGATGATGATGATGCTGATGATCTTGATTATGATGATCGTGGTTGTGGTAGTTGTGATGATGAGGAGGAGGTATTATGCTGCTGATGCTGCTGTTGCTGCTGCTGGTGATGATGATGCTGTTGACGATGGTCACGATGACCGCGGCGGCGACGACGACGATGATACTGATGGCGATGCTCTTGATGGCGATGCCAACGATGACGATGACGACAACGATGGCGTCGACCGACTGACTGGCTGACTGACTGACCGACATCGCTGCGAGTAAGCATGTTGCAATGCACTGGACCAGCTTGCTGCTATGCCTTGGTCGCGGCCTAGCGCTCTGACGCGGTGCACGTACGCCGAGTCGAGGCGAACAGAAAGTGAAGCAATCTCAGTCGCCCCCCCCCCCCGCCCCTCCCCCCCTGTCAACCCCCGTGCGTTCTGGGCCAAATGTCAGCCCGGCTTACCCCTTCGAAGCGAACCTCACCCCTGAGACTCGACGCAACGAGAAGAACGCGGCATCAGAGAACACATCGCGACGGGACCCCCCGACGTCGTCCTCCTGTGCCATCTCCCGAGCCCGACCGGTCTGTGTGAGGGTCCTCTGCCTGGCACGGCACCGCGGCCGCCCCCGGTTTGAAAAAAACACGCGACGCCAGAGACGGGAATCCGGGCAGTCCCGGGATGAAGATACCGTCGGACCGAGGTATCGGGGGCGGAAAAGAGGGGGATGATGACTAGGGGGGGTGGATATCATGGCGGGGGCCATGATATTTCCCCAGATTTCATGGCGCCCCTTCTTACTTCATTACGTAAATGGCCCCCCCGCTGGGCCGCGCACATGCCGCCGGTCATGATTTGCACCCCCCCCTCTTGGACACCCCACCCCCCTCTTGGCCGCTCCCGACGAGGTAGAAGGATCGAGGTCGATTCGGGGAGGGCCCCCTGTGCTCCTGTGCATCCTGGGGAGGGTACCCCTGGACGCTCTGTGTGTTTTGGCCGGCGGAGGATCTCCTGTTCTTGAAGGATGGTATTCTGTCCTCGGTCCGACTGTGAATCGCTCCAGAGAGTTCCGGAACGCTCACTCAGAGCGTCCCAGAAGTGGCCGTGGTGCCCGGTGCATCCTCCCACACCCGCGCGCTCTCAGAGATCCTGGATTTACCGCCCTCTTTCCTTATGGGGGGGCGCGTACTGGGGGGCGGTTGCTGGGGGGACAGCGAGGACCGCGGAAAAGGGACCCTTTCGGGCCTCTGGAGGTGTCCTTTCGGGCCCAGAAGGGGGCCTTTGGGTCCTGAAGAGAGTACTTTATTCGTGAATTTAATTGGTTTTAGGGTTTTAACAAATGGTCGCAGCCACGCAGAGGGCGTGCGTAGCGACACCCCAAATGCTCGGTCTCCAGTACTTCTACGCGGCGGCGCCCCCGCAGGCACGCAGAGGGCACGCGTGGCGACGGGGGCGTCGCCACGCAGAGCTTCTAAAGACCGAACATTTTGAAAACCAATTGTTTCCACTACTAAGGTACTTGTCTTTCCCCCCCTCCATTTTAGCGCTCCGTCCATTACTTTGCGCCTCACGCGCGCTCTCAGAGATCCTGGATGTTTCGCCCTCCTGCCTTACAGTCGGACCTAGGGGTATGATACGATCGAGGTCGGTTCGGGGAGGGTATCCTCATGCTCTTCGTGTTTGTTGTCGGATGACTTTGTTATCGTGGCCGGCGGAGGGTCTCATGTTCTTGAAGGGTGTTTTTCTCGAAGGAGAAAAAGACGCCATAACCACAAACTCTTGGCGCTCCGCACGGATTGTGGATCCGCGCTGGGAGCCCCCCCGCGGCGCCTCCGCCGCCACTGGCGCGCTCCGCGCGCGGAACGCCACAAGTTTTTGTGATTGGCGTTTGCTCTTCTTCTGTGTGGGCCACCCTGCGAGAAGATCCGCCACGCGCGAAGCCGAGAGCGTGCACGTGACACGGACGTCCCAGCGATGGCGAGAGACGTTTCTGGCGCCCGCCCAGACCACCTTGCGCCGTGGCCCATAACAAAACCACGGCGGCCCTGGCCAGGCACAGGGACCGCCAAAGACCGACTCGGGCTCCTCCTCCCCCTCCTCCTCCTCCTCTTCCCCCTCCTCCCCCTCCTCATCCTCTCCTCCTCCTTCTCCTCCTCCTCCTCCTCCGCCTCCTCCTTGCCATTTTTCCGGCCTCAGGCGGCCCTGGCCAGCTCCGGGGATCTTCAAAGACCTACTCGCGATAGAGAGCCGGTTTCGGGGGCAGCCCTGATCATTGGTCGCCGCCGATGTTGCTTCACATTTCGGTATCGGTCGCGACCGACTTGCTTCCAAATCGGTCGCAACTGGTCGCGACCGATTCTGAGATCTGTCGCGATCGCTGCGACCGATTCGGAGTGCCAATCGGCCGCTACCACCGCGACTGAAACAATTCGGTATCCGATGATCAGGGAATGGGTCGAGACCTCCGGGGTCCATGTTGGGAGCAAGATCATGACGTCTGACGCCTGGCTGCGCCGGAAAAGCCAGTTGCATGCACAGCAGACGTATTCGCGAGATCCTCTTTTGGAACGTACTGAAGAGGGCGTTTTCCGGCCGCTTAGACCGGGAGGGTTCGAACCGGCAGCCCTCCCCCCAAGGGGGAGGGGGTTCGAACCGACCCGAACCAGCCGTAACCCCCTGCGTGGAACTTGGAACTCGGATGTCCATGGAGCGATCCCATCAAAGAACCTCTGGCGGGAGCTTGCAACTCTTGCATACAGGTTGCAGAGCAAACGGGGCCCGTTTTCGGCGGGCGTGAAGGATCGTCGATAATCGTCGGGGACGGCCCGCGATCGAATGGAAGACATCTCGGCGCATGAAGTCGGGACGTCTGAACGTCCAGGCATGATGGAGGAGGAGGAGGAGGAGGAGGAGGAGGAGGAGGAGGAGGAGGGGAGGAGGGCAGGAGGAGGGGGAGGGGAAGGTGGAGGAGCAGGAGGTGGAGGACGAGGGGGAGTGGGAGGGGAGGAGGAGGTGGAGGGGGAGGGGAAGGGGAGGGGGAGGGGGAGCAGGAGGAGGAGGAGGAGGAGGAGGAGGAGGAGGAGGAGGAGGAGGAGGAGGAGGGAGGAGGAGGAGGAGGAGCAGCTCTCTCTGTTGCTGCCCTCCGCCCGCCCCGCCGAGCCTCGGCACACCCGGCGAGGACTGGGAGGCTCACGCCTTCGACCCCCACTCCGAGCAAATCGCCGAGGCGAACGCGAAGATGAACGAGACCGCGCTGCTGGAGGAGGTTTTCCTTGTCGTTGTCGTCGTAGTCGTTGTCGTCGTAATCGTCGTCATCGTCGTCGTCTTCCTTGTCATCGTCGTCGTCGTCGTCGTCCTCGTCGTCGTCGTCGTCGTCGTCGTCGTCGTCTTCCTCGTTGTCGTCCTCGTTGTCGGCGTCGTCGTCCTCGTCCTCGTCGGCGGCGGCGGCGTCGGCGTCGCGTCGGCGTCGGCGTCGGCGGCGTCGGCGTCGTCGTCGTCGGCGTTTGCGTCGGCGGCGGCGGCAGCGGCGGCGTTGGCGTGGGCGTCGGCGTCCGCGTCGGATCTGTGGAGGTGGCGGGGGTGATGGCGGCCTGGGGTTGCCCAGTCTAGGGGCCGAGGTTGCCCAGCTCTGGGCCCAGCCCGCACAGCTGGGGGGGAGCGCCAGGGCCCCTCGTCGGCGGCTGGACGCGGCCGCGGCCTGAGCAACCTGTCAGTCTCGACGGGGGGAGGGGTGCCGATGTCGAGCGAACGGGCCCTCGCGGGTGCCGGCGGAGCGGGAGCGGAGCGGGAGCGGAGCGCTGCAGCGGCGAGGAGCCCGGGCGAGGGGAGCGGGGCGAGGCAGGGGGGGGGCCAGGGCGGTCAGGAGTCAAGCAGTGGCGAAGCGTCCTGGCGTGCCTATAGTCCTACCGGACAATGTTCGAAGAACCTTTCGTGGATTCCACGCAATGTTCTCAGAACATTTCTGGCGGAGTCTGTCTTGTTGTATGACATCGGGAATATGTTCTAAGGACATTGTTTTTGTTCTTGGAACATTTCTGGGTTCTAAAGCATTTCTTGGTAGGACTATAGGAATGCAGGGACTGTCGGTCCCTGCTCAAAGGAGGGCTCGGGTCCGCGGCGAGCGAGGGGGGACATGAGAACGAGAAGGCTTTCTCAGACGGCGGCGGGACTTCCCAGAAGCCCTCGCGCCCTCCGAGAAGTTGTTTGTTTGTCTTCCGAGGAGGCTGTAAAAACTTCTCGGAAGGCCGGGGGACTTCCGAGCCTTCTGAGAAGGCCTTCTCCTTTTCTTTCCTCCCCCTCGCTCGCCGCCGAACGAGGGGTGGCGGAGGAGGTGGCCTCGTCAGAAGGGGGGCTTTGCCCCCCCCGTCGGATTCGGGCGGCTGGGTCCTTTTCGCAGGCGAGTCTCCTCCCCCAGCCTCCTTCGACGAAGAATGGGAACCGCTCAGCAAAGGAGGGGAACCCTGGGATACACTCCAGGGGGGCCGTTCGGACTCACCCCTATCGAGGATGGACGTTTCCCTAACGTGTATCCCAGGGTTGGTTCACGAATTTCTGGTCCCTTCGAGAACCCCACGAACCTGGGATTGGGGGCGCCATATCCCCCGTTATCCTTTGCACAGGTTCAGAGCCCCGAATCAGCAAGGCTGGGGGCAGTCAAGGGTACACCTTAGGCGATGCTTAAGAAAACTTAAATTTTCGGCCAGGGTCTCGATTATTCTTAATGTTTCAACGTAAATTCTAAGATTTTAATAGAATTTTTGGGTTTTTAGTCAAGTTCTGAGACTATGAATTTCTTAACCCATGATTTCTTAAGCATTTCGCAGGGTGTACTGCAGAGTCGCGCCTCGGGGGCCCAGACAGGAGGTACCCTGGACCGGAGGTGTCCCGGATTGGTTCGGGCGTTCAAGAGGGGGTCTAAAACATGTTCGCAATAGTTTGTGCAATCGTTCACGTGGGATTCGCACGTCGTACGATGTCAGCACGTGGCTGCCACGCGCCATACGCCACATGATGAACTATGGCAGATCTACTGATGTGTATATACATCTAACGGCGCACTGGGTCCGGGGGACGGGGGCCGCGACCAGGACCACAAATGTGTGTGTGTCCAGGCTCTCGGGGCGTCCCTGAGGCCCTCAAAACGCCCCGGGAACGCGCCAAGAGAACCCGAAGACGCCCCAAGACGGACCCAAGACACCCAAAGGCCGCTCCAAGATGCCCAAGATGGCCCCCAAAACACCTCCAAAGGCCTCGCAGACGCTCTAAGAAGCCCCCGAGAGGCCCCCCGGGACGTCCCAAGAGGCAACACTAGCCCCATTCCCTTCGCAAAACGTACCTTTCTAGCATATTGATTGTTTTCGCTGTCGTACCGTTCTTGACGACATCAGAGGTCCCCAAGACCGCCCCAAGACCGCCTAAAAGGCGCCCCCGAGGGCCCCAAGACGGCCCAAAAGAGCCCCAGGACGGCCCAAGAGGCGCCCAAGACGGCCCAAACGGGCCCCCAAAGGCTCCCAAGAGAAGCCCAAGATTGGGGCATCCAACCGACAATTCGAGCTTTCTGCCAAAAGAGGCGCCCGGGAGACCCCAAGAGGCCCCGAAGAAGCCCCAAGAGGCCTCCAAGAAGGCCCCGCGAGGACCCCCGAGAGAGCCCTGAGAGCCAAAAACTGTTCATTTCCCGTAGATGTTCGAAGGATTTTGGTCATCTCGCCTTCTCGGGTTCCCGACGCCCCAAGAGGCCCCCAAGATCGCCCCAAGGAAGCCCGCGAAGCCCCCAAGAGGACGCCAGGACTACCCAAGAGGGCCCCAAAACGGCCCGGGAGGAGCCCAGCACGCCCAGGAGGATCCCAAAACGTCCCCACGAGGGACTCCAGAACGGAAGCCCGAACCGACCATTCGAGCTTTCTGCCCCAAGAAGCCCCGAAGAGGGAGGCCCCAGGAGGCCGCACCGATGGCTCCAGACGCCTTTCAAGACGACTCCCATGACGCCAAGAAGGCCCCCGAAGGCCTCGAAGACGCCCCAAGAGGCACCCCGAGAGAGGCCCAATAAGCAAAAATCATCGATTTCTCATGAGGAAATTGATCTGTTTGGCGTGTTTGCCTTTTGGGCGTCCACTGCGTCCAAGACGGCCCAAGAGGCACCCAAGCTGGTCGAGGATGCCCCCAAGACGGCCCCAAGACGGCCCACCAGGGGGCCAAGACGGCCCACGAGGCGCCCAAACCGCCCAAGAACGCCCCAAGGCGGCGCCCAAGACGGGGACGAGGAACCGGAAATTCTGGCCTTTTGGCCCAAGAGACCCCCAGGAGACCCCAAGAGACTCCAAGAAGGGGCCCAGAAGCCCGTCGGACCGGCGTACAAGATCGAGGTCGGTTCGGGTGGGGTACCCCAGACTTCGTAATAAAAGGGAGGGGGTCTCAACTCTCCCAGACGATAAGTTTTAGACCCCCCCCAGACCATCCATGGAAGGGCGGCCCGTTGCCCAGACCCCCCCGAACCCTCCAAGACAGCTCAAATCGGATCCTCCCCCAGATGTGACCCCCACCACTTAGTTATGGAATCCGGAGTACACTAGTGTTCTTCGTGTCTGTTGGATGTTCTTGTGCAGCCCGTGGAGGCTACCCTTGGATGTTGGTGCTTGTGTTGGCCGACGGAGGGTCTCATGTTCTTTGGGGACGTTATGGCCCAGGTCCGGTTGTAACGGTCCCACTCCGTCGAGATGCCCTGGAGCCCAAGCCCAGCACGGAGACGAGGAGGGGAAACAACACACAGACCCAACTCATCATCGAATCCCAGGGAGATGTAGGAAACTATGGGAAGTGTGGGTGGGGGGGGGGGAAGACGGACAGCCAGAAGATATGGGAAACATACGAGGAATCCTGGGATGCGTGTCCATGTGCCACCACCTACCAAACCACCCCAACCCAACCCGAAGGCCACGATTGGCCCTCCATTTCCAGTATGGGGGGGCGGTCGGGGAACATCGAACAAATACATATGAAGCCCGTACCCCCCCCCCCAACCCGAAATTCGGGCCTTCGTGTTGGGTTGGGGTGGTCTGGTAGGTAGTCCCTGCACCTGTGTGTCCCATGGCCCATCCAAGAGACGCGACGTCGGAGGACGGGCGCAGCGACGGGGCGGCCGGCCTCCTCCCGCGAAGAGGCACAGGGGGGGGGGGCTCCGCAGGCAGCCCTCCTGCGCTCCCAGGGTCCTCCTCTCCCCCAGGGGCTGGACGGCTCTTCTCGCAAACTGGAACATATACATTACCAGTGGCGGGCTGTTTTTTCAACCCCGCGACTTTTTAAGGGTCAGGGACGACGTCGGGGTGGTGTGGTGTATGCTTTTCCCCCGTTTTCCAATGGAAGCAACGAGCAATGTATACACCAGGATCCCGTATACACTAGGATCCGCGTTCTTGTGCGAATTTCAGCGCAGGGTCGGAAAAAGCGTCGGTGTATAGAGTTCGTTTCCCAATCTTCTCCAGGTTGACTCGCGGAGATCAACCAGGAGGGAAGCAAAAACACGCAGACACAGTTAATCGTTGTCGATTCCCAGGAAATCGGGGGAAACGATGGGACGTGGGTGGGGAGACGAAGCTCCAGAACATCTGGAAACATCTGGGGGAATCTCGGGATTCGTGTGCGTGTGTATTTGTGTGTGTGTGTGGTGTGTGTGTGTGTGTGTGTGTCCCTGGGCCCCTTCAGTCAAGCTGTACAGATCGAGGCGGGTGCAGGTAATTCACGGTACATCCAGATCAATCGAGGTCCATCCAGAAATGTTCAGGCAAGCTTGGAACAGGTCGTGGAAGCTCCAGCGCGAGTCGAGGCCTCTCTGAGGCCTCCAGTCCCTTCTGGGGAGGAGGAGGAGGAGGAGGAGGAGGAGGAGGAGGAGGCCTCCAGTCCAACCTTCCGTCGGCCGCTCCCTCGCCCACCACACCCCTTGGCCGGCCCTACCCGCAGAGGCGCACGAGCTTGCCAAGAGGAGGGGCTGCGTCGACGACCCCCTGTGGAGGGACGCGGACGGCGACGGCTGCGAGATCTACAAGTTCCCTCCTATTCCTACTCCTCTCGGGCGGCGGCGTCTGCAGACATCTTGGGATGAAACTCCTGGGAGGTCAACTGCTGCATCGGCGCTGGTGCATCGCTGGTCGAAAGCTGGCCCAGCTCGGCTTCATCCAGGCTGGTCCGGCGCAGTCCCGCGAAACCAGGTTGCATCCCGCGTTTTCCGGCCGTATTCCGGGCTCAATTCGCCTTCGGGCTCCACGGCCCCTTCGTCGGGCTTATCCTTTACTCGTTTTTACGAAGAGCTACCAGGAGTTGCTTCCTAACATATCCACCGCCCTTGGCCAGGGGCCATGGTCATTTACGATAGGTTCGCGTCGTGTCGACTGGTGGCAACCCCGCCGCTGGCGTTCAACATTGAACTTGACGCCGCTGGCGATCCAGCACCGGTCGATGTTGAACAATCGGACGTTCCGGAAAGGGCCAATCGTTCAAGGTTGAACGGTTCCCGGGGTGTCAGGGACCAGCGCTGGCGTCGACCCGACACGAACCTGCCGTACAGACCTCGCCGCCCTATCTGCTCCTTCCCCCCTCGTGCCGCATCTGCGGTGCCATTCTTGGCCGCGTACACCTCTCGATGCCCGAGGGTCATCTCTGGGGGAGGGGGCGCGGCACTGCGGCCGGGATGCCACCTTGGAGCAGCACGTTCTCCCCGCCAAACCTCTGACGCCGCGCGGGAGCCGCGGTACCCCGCCCGAGGGAACGAGTTTTGCCATCCCCTGTCGATAACGGGCGCGACCGAGAAGGGCGGCAGTGGCGAAGCGTCCTGGCTTTCTTGTAGGCCCACCTAAGGAAGTGTTGAGAACCATGGTTGGTTTACACGACCTGTTCTCAGAACCTTCCTGGCCGAAAACGTATTGTTTTTAACACTCCGGCTTTACATTGTAAGAACATTGTTGTTGTTTGTGGAACGTTTGTTTGTTCGAAGACCATGTCGTGGTAGGCCTGTAGGACTGCCAAGGCGGTCGGTCCCTGATCAAATATCATGGTTCCCCGCGCTCGTTCCACTACCCGCAAGATGCCTGCTTGCAAACGTCTGAAAATACACACGCTCGCCTCGACATCAAGGCTCGTAGAACTTTCCTCGGCGGATCTTGGCAGTTTTCGCGAGTAGCTTCTTTTTGCGAGTAGTGGGACGCGCTTGTCTGATGTAGGGGAACGAGGAAAAACATAAACATAAAAACTCGGAGGTCCAAGCGGATTTCTCCGATGCGCGCTGGACCCCCTGGCGGCGCCTCCGGCGCCGCCCCTGGCACGCTCCGCGTGTCAGGGAGGGGGGTCCAGCGCCGATCCGAGAAATTCGCGCGGACCTCCGAGTTGTTATGTTGATGTCATTGTTTGTTTCCCTATGATGGTCGGTGGGCAGGTTCGCCATCACGTCCGGGAAGACGTCGGTCCAGGTCGCCTGCCACGGCGGGGGCGTGGTGGACGCGACGGCCGCCACCGCGGGCAGCCTTCGCGGCTCGCGCCGCCCGGTGCGGGTGGTCGCGGACACCACGGCGAAGGTCTACTGCCGGGCCACGTGCCAGATGTGCTAGCTCTGACTCCGGGCCACCGCTCGGAGGAGGAACAGGTATCCATACCACTACCCTTCTCTCGTTTTCCCCTTTGTGGGCCTCCTGGGAGGTCCTCGTCGTCACCGCTGGATTCGCTTCGAAATCCGGGTCAGAACGCACCCCAGGAGAGGTCCGGGGAGTAGCGGTATCGGTACCTCTTGGTCTCCCCAGATCCCAGGACGATCGAAATGGGTACAGAAAATATAGGCACGATGCCCAACAGCAGTTCTGAGCCTCCAAGATGGGATCCGAGTAGACGGGGTCGAAGCATCTCGCCGCGTCGTCGATGCATCGACGATGCGGATCGATGTGGAGTCAGAATTTCTTGACGCCGATAGCGCCGATGCATCGGCGACGTCGCAAGTGCATGCGTCCTCGATGTATCGCCGATGCATCGGTGATGCGGCGCGATGCTCCGACCCCATCTACTGCGACCCCATCTCGGAGGCCCCAATCTGTTCCGAAGAGGGCAGGCGATAGAGGAGGCATGGACACATGTGCGCCACGCGCAACGCCAAAAGGTTGTCATCGCCGACCTTCACTCCCTGCCCTCCTCGCACCCTCCCTGGCCGCCTCCCCGTATGCCTGTTCTCATCTGCCTCGTCGTCCTCCTCATGCCTACGCTTCCACATCCTCCCCATAAGTGGGTCTTCCTGGAAGCTCCTTCTTTGGACCTTTGTATAGGCTTCTAAGGGCCGCTGAAGGCCACTAGAGGATGCTAAAGCTACTAAAGGCCACTGACGGATGATAACAGGCCACTCGAAGCCGCTAATAATTCGTTAAAGGCAGCTGGCGGCCACTAATGGCTGCTGAATCGAGGTGGTCTATGTTAGAATGAGTCTTCAAAAAGACTAACCTGACCTCATACTTACCACTTCATCATCCTCCCCTCGTGTCTCGTCAGCACTCTGTCTCTGATTGTTATCCTCCCCTGCCACTCCGCTCTTCTTTCTGTCGTCATCGGCCACGTTTTCCTCGTGTCCTTGTCCTCTGTGTCTTCCTCGTCCTCCTTGTCCTCCTCGTCGACCACCTCTGGCCTTTCCCCTGCTCCCTATCTTCATTCGTGGTTCCTCGTTCCTCTTATTTGTCTTTCGTGCCCAAGGGGATGCGTGAGGACGATACGTGGGAGGAGCAGGAGGAGGGGACGATCAGTGTAACTGCCTGGTCCACCACCGGCTGCCCATTACATTAAGGGTTCTTATTGTGGTGGGTCTGTTTGTTGCCACTCCACCTGGACAATTTGCGAGGGCAAGTTGTGCGGTGGTGTTTTTGCTTTGCGATGCTATGCCATGCGATGCTGCGCTGTGATGTGCTTTACGATTATATGCTGTGCCATGCTTTGCTATGCTGTGCTATGGCACACGACGATGCTATGCGGTGTTATGCGACGATGTGCTCTGGTATGTCATGATATCCCATGCTATTCCATGCTGCGCTATGCGATGCGACGCGATTGTATGCGATGCTGTTCCATGCCAGGGTATGCGATGCGATGCGATGTTATGAAATGATCTGCCATGCTATGACCAGCTCTGCTTTGACATGCCATGGCATGCTATGCGTCGCCGTGTCATGCAATGTTTTGGTATGATTTGCTGTGCTCTGCTATATCACGATCCCATTTGCAATGCTATGATTCGATGTGCTGCGATATGAGGTACCAGCTGATTGTATGCCATGCTGTGCAATACAATGCCATGCTAGGTTATGCCGTGTTCTGTCACGCGATGCTTGGCAATGCGATGCAGAGCGATGCTGCGCTATAGTTCCAGTTTGTCCCTCCCGCAACCTCCCTATCACCCGAAGAGTGGTTGTGTTTGTTGGCCCTTCCCAAATTAAGTCGAACCACCCTTGCCCCTCGTTGCGCATGTTATTCTAGCTTGAATGTCGCGCGAGTAGCCGCTTGGCTCAAAGGGGTGGCTCAACGCACCTGGGGAAAGCAGTGTCAGGGGGATCTACTGCGCGGGATGGTGTTGGTTGCGCCGCCGCTTCGTTTTGGGCCCCAGCCACTGGCGGGAAAGCAGGCGAAACCTAGGCGCGCTGAGGGGAGGCCGAAGCCGACGGCCATGCGGGCGACCCAGAAGAAGGCCGAGGCACAATAGACATTTCAACATGTTGTGCGCTCCTCGCCGCGAAAGCTGAGTCCATCGAGGGCGTCGTCGAGGCCTCTCCCACGGAGGCCGCGGTCATGCGCGGCGGTCAAAGCGACGAAGAGGTCACAAGTTTTGAATATGACGTCCCCGCCGCTGGCACGAAAGGTTCCCACAAGTGGAAAGGTTTCGCAGACTCTGTCGCGAAAGCGTCCCCTCTCGGATGACATGCTCCAGGTGTTTGACGGGGCCATTTCCGAGGCGCAGCATCTGGAAAGCCATGCGGGTTGCAAAGGTTTCTGCATCCGGTGCGATTTGCAGAAGCGACCTAAGTTCTACGAGGCGTGTACCCTCTACGAGGGCCGGTCGTGGTTGTCACGAGGCGTTAGCCGCGGCATATGGGGCCTGGGGTGTAGGATCTGCTCTGAGTTTGCGGCATCTGGCAACCAGTGTGACGGCGCCAGGTTTTCAAAGTTTGCCAAGTTCCAGATTCGCCCGAAGACGGGCTTCAACGCCAGGATGCTGTTAGAGCGACATGCCAGCAGCACGTCGCACAGAGTGGCCTGTGGGATTACAAAGAGAAAGGGTTCCGACATGTTCGCTCAGCCGATTGCACCACAGCCTCTGGCGAGCCCGACCGTTTGGCCAACCGAGAGGCCATGCGAGTCTCTGGCGACTGAGTCTGATTCCAGGCTGATTAAGGGAAACGTACCGACCCCATCGGAGTGGAGAGACGCGTGGGCGGTGCTATCAGAAGGAGTCTCTCTCCGGAAGGCCGCTCGCGTCAGCGATAAGAGAAGCCGCGCGCCTGATCCGGCGGCGACGCAGGCGAACAGAATACGGAAACGCCAGCGCCGACAACTCCAAGTGATGGCGGAAGTCCTGAGGAGAAGGATTCGCAAAACGCTGCTCCAGGCGACTTCCATCTCTTTGGCCATAGATGAGTCGAAGTACCGGAAGATCGTGCGGTTTCGCGTCGACCTCCCGATTGCCGCCTGCACCGCAGCCTCTGGCGCGCCCGACCTCCCTTCTGCGCGAAACAGCGGCGCGGGCCTCCACGTGGGGAACGTTGGCGCTTCAGGATTTTGCGCGTCCGGCGTGTTAGGCCTCCTCGATTGCTCGAAAAAACACGCGTCCGACTTCGAGGATGACCATGCTGTCACTGCGGTTAAGCAGCTCGATGACTTTCTTACGAAATTCTGTACGCCGCTCGGCAAAATAAAAGGCCACAGGGGAGCGCAGCCGCTGGCGTGCGACCAGAAACGGAAAGCGCACGTGCTGGGAACAGTCACCAGTTTCGCTGCCGATGGCGCGTCCAAGGAGCGGCGTTCAGTCTTTCTCGCTGCTCGCGATCTGTTCCCTAACTTGTTAATCGTGATTCGCGACCCAGCTCGCGCCATTCGCATTGCCTGCAAGTCGATGCACTGCGACGACGTGTTTGGGCAGGTATGGAAGGAGCTGTTCGATGATCGGCATGCGCTGGTTCCTGACCTGATGAATTCTACCAAGTGGCACAACCTTCTGGTGGCCATCCAGGAGGACAACGTGCATGCAGTGGCGGTGCCTGGACTCCCTGGAGGGCCCCAGCCCCTGGCGGGAATCGTGCGGAACTTGGCGTTCGCCAAGCAACGCTTCGACTCGACGGCGGGCCCCGTGTTGAAAATCGCTCTCATGCTTCTGCCGGCGGCAACCTTGCTGGCGTACATCGCGTCCGACCGTCGCCGCGATCGGGAGCAGCGCGAGCGGGCAGGCGCCCTGTTGCGGAAATTCGATACTAAGTTTTGTATGGCCGTTGGTGTGTCGGCGGATTGGGGGATCATATGCAACTGGTTCTTGCGGCTCTTCGACGTCGCCAGCCACGACATTGCGAAGTCGCGTTCTGAGATCGACTGCACGGTCGAGACGTTGGACGCGGTCTTCATGCAAGGGCGCGTCCCAGACGGTTCTCCAGGCCGCCCGCCCCCCCGCGGCAGCCGCAGCCTCTGGCGTGACCGCCCCAGCTGCCGAGGAGCCGCTGCCGCCGCGGCTCCGCGCGGTAGGGCATGAGGCGGGCTTTATCACAGAGACGGTAATGCGCAATCTCCGCACCAAGTACGTGTTCTACGCAGACGGCGACCCGCGATGCCATGGGGGGAACCAGCAGCGGCGCACAAGGAGGAGCTCCTCCACCGAATGCAGAACGTGGCGGGATTGACAAAAGAGCGCTTGCTCCAGGACTTCCCGCGGACTGACGTCCGCTCGGCGCTGGCGATGTTTGACCGGCGTCTCGTGCAGAAAGGTTTCGGCCCAGTGCCTGATGTTGAAGTGCGGCGGTTCCTGTTGCGGGGCGCGCGCCAGCTGGCGGCCCTGCTCGGTTGCGACGAGCAGGCGGCGATGCGACAGTACGACGGCGTGCTTCCCTACATGATGGAACAGATGGAGCCATCCCAGCCACTGGCGGGGGCAACTAACCAGCAGGCGTGGGCTCGCGTGCTCGACGATGACTTTTGGGAGGCGGCTTGCCCGAGGCGTCTCCGCGGGTCTTCTCGCGTGCTCTGCCGCCTGGTGCGTTTCTACATCTCGATTGAAGACGGGGAGTGCACCGTCGAACGCGACTTGGCCAGATTTCGGGACCAACGGGTAGAGCGCCGCACCGATGATATCGCCTTCCACGACGACGGCTTAATCGTGAAGTTGAACGGGCCGAAGACGGCGGCTGATTTCGACGAAGGCTCAGCTCGCTCTGGACTGGGCCTGACGTCCTTCTCCAGGGAATGCGCCGGCCTCTGGCTGGAACTGTTCGGCCATCGGCATGGGCATTACAATCCTCACGCTACTGCGGCGGCCAAGTTAAACAGGCGCGGTGCGCCCGGGCTTGTTCGAGGACGTGTTCGGGCCGTTCTTGGGGCCGCCCGCCTGGCCGTGGCTGCCGCGCGTCTTCGACGGGCGCGGGGCCAGTCTTCGACCGCGGTGCATTCTGGCGCCGGCGCCGAGGCGAGCGCTTTGTGGAACGATGGCATGGGTAAGTTCCAGGCGCGCAGCCGCAAGAATATACCAGGCGTCACGCAGGCGCGGGCGTGTCCAGGGGCGCCCTTCGCGAGTCCGCCCGGCGTCCACCTGGCTCCAAGACGAGGTGCGACGACGCAGCCTCTGGCGCGGCCCTCGCCGTGCAGCAAGGTAGCAAGCCTCGGCGGCGCGACCGACACGTGCCCTGCGAGAGGTTGCGCTACTGTCACTGGCAGACACCGTTGTGCAGAAGCAGACCTCGTCGTCGTTCCAGACTTTTCGTTCCTCCACGACTTGGATGCGATAGCAGCCAGCGCGGACCTGACCGTCTCCTACTTTTACATCGCGTCGCTGGGCCTCGACGTCGTCACGAAGACACACCTTGTCTCTGCCCAGTGCCACCCAGATGGAATTCCACTCGGCCACCGCATGCGCCACGTTC